CTTATATCGAAATCCTCCGACATTTTTCTTTACAAATCCTCGTTTTGTACTTCTAATTCATGACTGGCATTTTGTTTTGTTCTCTCTCCGCTTTCGTCACTAATCACGCAACGCCGACATCCTACGTCATCCGCCGGAACGTCTTCCGCGTACCACAGTTATATAAAGTGAGAGAAAAGTGTTTATTACGTTTGAAATATGGATATTTTTCTTACAAAAACGCATGGATTCGCTACAGGAGGCCTTTATTCATCCCCCGGAGCCTTGTGAGGCACATTTTATTATGGATGCGCGCGCTTTATTTGACGTGTTTTGGACTGTTGAACAGAAACACCCACCCACTGCATTGATAGAGCTTAGAAGTGCCAGGACAATTTTTAATATAACTCCGATTGGATTCGTCTGAAAGAAGAAAGTCGTATATACCTAGGATGGCTTGAGGGTGAGGAAATAACAGGCTAATTTTCATTTTTGGGTGAACTAACCCCTTTAAGTTATTCAGTCAAGAACAGTGAGTGATTTTCTCTGTGTTTTGTTGTTTGATTAACATTGATGACACAGACAGCGGCATGATGTCAAATGGAATAACCCCCAGAAAAGTTGACATTTTCATGTTTCAAATAAATAAACGTTTGGAAACTTAGATTTTATTACCTTTGACATGTTTACACCATTTGACTTTTTTTTTATAGTTGTTAGATCAAAACTGTGTATTATATTAATGATATAAAAAGTTTTTCTTGTCATTGTGGCATCTAATAATTTTTTTTTTAATGTGTGTAAAGTTGGAGAACATGCTAGGAGGAGACGAGATCTACAAGACCCACATTACCAAGCATTTGGTGCCCTGTATTGCCCAGTTTGCCGTTGCTATGGGAGATGACTCACAGTGGAAAGTTCTCAATTATCAGATTCTTCTCAAGACACGACACAGTTCACCCAAGGTATGCAAATGTTAAATTCGAGCTATAAACATACAGAGATAGAGCTGAAGTGATGTATGTGGTACAATTTTAAAGGGCCCAAAATTCAATTATGAAAATCTGTATAGATATTTTTATTTTTGAATAGGAACAATGCTAATGCCTACTTACAAAATTGCAATTAGTCAAGAAGTCTTAATAGTTATGTATTAAAAACTGAATAAATTTGAAAGAATTTACGAGTAACAAGCTACAGATGAAATCCTGAAAAGGAACCTTGCTGATAAATCTTTATGATGTTTAATTTAGGGGGTTAATCGGTGTGTGTGAAATTTGAGTATGTATACAGAGTAGCCGCATATTCACACTGAATTCAAAAGTGACAAATTTGGGATAGATTGCTTGTTATTCCTCATTTTGTAAGTCGATTTAGATAAAGAACCTGCTAAATGAATAAATGCAAACCAGTGTGCAAAAGAGAGCAGTGCTCATTCATAACCACTAATTGAAGAATTACAATTTGATTTGAATTACAAATTTAATTTGTCCATCTGTGTGGATAATTTTACTAATTCTTAATCTACGTATTTTGTAACTGTATATGTTTATGTAACCATATCGTGCATGAATTGTCGAGGTGAATTTTGAACTTTGTTGCACCATCTTGAGGCTGTGGGTGTAATACCCTTGGCATCTTATCCAAGATCTAAAAATGAACACTGGGCAAGTGCCAAATAAGAGTAAAAATTGATGTTGCAGCAGAGTATATGAAATGGTGATACTCGCCAGCCGGCAAACACTGGCCACATGTTTTAGAGTGAAGGGTGACATTGTGTTTATTTATATGCAATCATGATCCAGTTTTTTCCAGTACCAACCCTCTTCACAAATTTGTAATGAGAACAGTTCTTAAATCAACAAAGCAGCAGATTAGAGGTTTTACACCAATCTAAAAGCTCTAGTTTAACATTTTAAATGCAAAGAAATAAAGACAGGCATAAATATTAGTAGGCTATTGTAATAGTAATGTTGTTCTGTAAAATAAAATAAAATTGTTATTGTTATTATTATTATGTAGTGATATGAAGGCATAGGTTGTGGGAATGATTAAAATTAGTGCCTTTAATGACTACATTTTTTTCTAATATGTGGATTGATTTCTCTTTGCGTACATGTATTTTAAATACAGAAGTGAAAATAAATTACGATGTTTGCCTTTTTGTTCAGGTGCGTTTCTCTGCACTTGTCATGCTGCTGGAGTTGGCAAGCAAGCTGAGGGAGAACTACATGGTTCTTCTGCCAGAGACTATCCCATTTCTGGCTGAGCTTATGGAGGGTAAGAACATTACATCAACATTTAATCAAATGGGCACACATGATTTTGTAAATAAAGTACACCGTTTTACCTAGTGCTGTCTTTGTTGCTTTGAGACTTGTTGCATTTTAAGAACGCTTAGATCGGTTTCTTTAACAATCAAAAATGTTCCAGAATTCCGAATTTAGTTATTCTTCCTCCTTGTTTCACAGATGAATGTGAGGAAGTGGAGCAGCAGGTGCAGAAGGTCATTCATGAAATGGAGACTATCCTTGGTGAACCACTGCAAAGCTACTTTTAATCCCACCCGGGACTGATTTCATACCATCACAGGCACTTCTTACACCCTTTAATTGTGCATTCGTTATCCTTGTACAGTATTTGGTGATGAACTGCTCTGCTGGAACATGTGTCTGCCCAGCAGTTCTACCTGCACACCTTATCACTGACTAACAGCTCAACCTGTCCTACCTTTGTGTCCATGTATATGTAAATTTAAAAAGCCACAAATTTTGGAAGCCAAAAATCACTGGATGCCACATGCTTTACAGTAGGGTTATATAAAACCGACACACATGATGTTTAAATGTGTCTATTGTTTTTAAAAAAGTAATGGTTTTATATTGAATTTTCTAATGCATACCGATGTACCTCTCTGGAATCTGAATATCATAAAACGATGAGGCTGGAAAATGTGCATTTGTGTTTGGTAGGAATCTGGGTATACTATTTGACCGTAGTCTTTCATTTGAAAGCCACATCTCCAGCATTTGTAAACTGCATTTTTTTTTTCATTTAAAATGTATGTCTTAATTACAACACATACTCTCAATATCAGATGCAGAAAAGTTAATTCATGCATTCATGATTGACATGATTGTCAACAACATGATTGTAAAGCGCTTTGGGTGTACAGCAATACATTCCCCATGATTGTGTAGCCTAGTGAACCAAACTGAGAGACCATTTTGAAGGCTCAGGAAACCTTTGTAGGTGTTTTGAGTTGATTAGCTGATTGGCATGTCACCATATTCTAATTTGTTGAGATAGTGAATTGGTGGGTTTTTGTTAAATGTGAGCCAAAATCATCACAATTAAAAGAACCAAAGACTTAAACTACTTCAGTCCGTGTGCATTGAATTTATTTAATACACGAGTTTCACAATTTGAGTTGAATTACTGAAATAAATTAACTTTTCCACGACATTCTAATTTATTGAGATGCACCTGTAGATGCATCATTCAATCATTAATTCATGGCCTCAAGGCTAGATTATTGTTATACTCTACTGGGTGGTTGCTCTGCATGCTTAATAAACAAACTCCAGCTAGTGCAAAATGCAGTAGCTAGAGTTCTCACTAGAACCAGAAAGTAGGACCATATTAGCCCAGTTCTGTAAACACATATTTTTGGCTCCCTATTGAGCATTGCATGCATTTTAAAATCCTGCTAATTACTAACAAAGATTTAAATGGTTTAGCTCCTCAGTACTTGAGCAAGCTGTTATCGCATTGTAGTCCTTCACGTATATTGCCGTCTCAAAATTCTGGCCAGCTGATAAAACCTACAATATCAAAATCGACTGTAGGCGGTAGATCTTTTTCCTGTTGAGCACCCAAATCCAGTCTGTATCCAGATCAGATAGTGGACCTGCACCTATTGATGACCACAACAGCCCTGAATTTCAGCGCAGACCATGACAACAAGACAATCCCTAGAGACCGATCCCCTGTAAAGACCTCATTGACACGACGGCCATCGGCACAGATCCTGAATATTCTAAATGATACCAATCCACAGTATGACTTGGAATTAAACAAACCCATGTTGACTTGTTTGGCCAGAGGAGAACTGGCCCACTGATTGAGCCTGGTTTCCCTCAACCCTCCCCCCATTTCTGTCCTTGTCACGGTCACTTCTGGCTTGATTAGTTGGGCACACGTCCTATTCAGCAATATTATTAAAGTGACTACTGACACTATTGGATGAGAACTGAACTGAGGTGGATGATGACATTACAAGTCTGCTTTACAGCTGAATTGATCTCATTTCATAACTGATGATCTTACACAGTTTTTGAACAGAACTGAATCAACAATGACCAATTGCTCTCTGTTTGCATCATTGAATCAATTTGTCCTTTTTATCCTTGTAAAGCTGATTTGAAACGATGTGTATTGTTAAAGTGCTATATAAATAAATGTGACTTGACTTCACATGCAATGGGGTGATGTGATTGTACAACCAAGTATTGATTAAAGAGTAATGAACAAACCTAGTAATTGCTCAAATTTAACTAGAAAATAATGGGTGTATATATATATATATATATATATATATAGGGTTATTACAGTTAACTAAAACCATAAAGTGCATTTTGTCACTTTTAAATAAAATAAACCTTAACTGAAATAATATATAAAAACCTTAAACTTATTTTAATTTCAGCTCGTTGCCAAGACGTTTCTCATTTTCATTTTTTTACGCGATGTACTAAAATAACATAAAAATAAACGAAAATGAAATTAAACACAGACATCAGTATAACTAAATATAAATAAATGTTACTAAAATTTAAATAAAAACACAAAATATAAAAATAATTCATATTTAAATATAAATATTAAACAAGAAAATGGCGAATTCAGACGAATTAAATATCATATTAGCCTATATAATATAAATACGTATAATTTCTTGATCCTTAAGTTTATATTTACATATGCGCTGTTTATGTTAATTAATCATTTCGTATGCAAATTAGGCGATGGCGTCAACTAAAATCAGTTCTTCCCCATTTACTTTTCCTGAACAAAACAGAAAAGAAAACCCAGGTTAAGACAGAAGAGCGCGAGCAGCCCAATGACTGACACCGGATGCGTGTCGTCACACATCCTGTAATCTGCTTTGATTTTAGAGCCGCTTATTCCAGACTGCTGCTGGATTCATAGTAACAGTGATGAAGAGCTTCAGCGGAATTCGAGCCGCTTTTCACATATTCACAAGAGACCTCCATCATCATCACTGTGTGGGAATAATAGGTGCACCTTTTTCTAAAGGACAGGTGAGATATAAACCCCCTAAGAAGCGTCCTCTTCTCATTTGAAATAATGATAAACAAGTATCTAAAAAAGAATATGTTTGCATATAAATCCATGCATGGTGCAGTTTGGTAGTGGTCCAGTGCTCATGTTATTGACTGTTACTGCAGCAGAGAGATGGTGTGCAGAGAGGAGCAGACCTCATTCGAGCTGCTGGATTGGTGCAGAAACTTAAAGGGCAAGGTACCACAACTACACCTGATATTTACACTGCTTTTATCAGTGTTTGAGTACAGTATAATGCTTCTAAAATATTCGAAAATACATTTTTGGTTACACTTTATTTTAAGGTGTCTGGGTCACCGTGTAACGATACAGTACATTAGAAGTACAGAATAAAATATTCATTAATAACATATACTTAGGCTACTACAGAGTTAGGGTTATAATTAGGATCTGGTTTAGGGTTGCATATAATTATGCATAATTTCTTGCTATTACTGTAGTAAGTATGTGTAACAAGGACATGGTAAAATAAAGTGTTACCTAATTTATTTATTTTAAAAAAAGACAACATGGGATGTTTGCATTTTAAAAAGTTGAAATGTGACTAAATGCTGTTAAAATGGATGAAAATTTTAAATTGTGACTAGTTATAGCATGTAAAAAATATAGGCTGTACTGTATATAAATTCATTTAAACTTTAACCTAAATCTTGACGCAAGAATGGTAATGTGTTATTTGTCAACTAGCCATTATACAATACCTCCAACTGCTAATGTTTATTTTAAGGTCAGGCGACACGCAATCAATATTTATCATTGCCATTTTCGTAAAAAGCTTTAAATGTTTCAGTCTATATTTGATCTGTCTGTCTGTTGTTTCACAAATGTTTTATAGGGTAACTTTAAACAAGGTAGAGGGACTGATGCCATGCAAGGACCAGTGCTGCCATGTATGGTTTTTATTTATTTACCTAAGATGCGATCTCATAAGAGCAGTAACACTGACGTTGCACTACTCCCCTTTCTGTGTGTATTGCAATATTTTGGACTGAGTTCTGTTACTGAATAAGAGTCAAGCGTGTATTTGCACATTTGAACTCAAACAAACCCAGTAATGTTTAAAAACTTGAGCTGATGGCAGAACAGAGAACTCTACAGGTCTAAAAAGTTAAATCGGTGACAGACTGTCTAAAATGAGTGATTTATTTAAATATTCATTCCAAGATTTTTACATATTTGAAGGATACTTTCAACAGCATTCATTTAATAATTGAATAGCCCACTTTTGAAACTGCCTAAGTGAATGTTCAGTCTCCAGCCTTCCAGTTTACCTTTTAAATAATATTTTTTATAATATAATAATTTTTCTTCTTCACTCTGAGAAAATATAAAGAATAAAGAGGTGAGAGAGAAACACTTCTGCAAACTCTCAACCTCATGCTACACTTTTCCAGTTCAGAAGAAATGGATGAAATGAATAATACTAATAATAATACTAATTCTACCGTCTGTGTTATTGCAATATGATATTTATTTTTCTTTATATTTTTGGTGTAATAATGATTAGGCAATATTGTATGTACACACAATCATCCCAATAAAGTATTATATTAAAAAGGGAATGGAAAAATAAATGGTGACACTGTGCATCAAAACAATATATTATAGATATATTTTCAGTGCATGACTTGACAGTTGAGTACATTTTTTTCAGGATTCTTTGATGAATAGAAGGATCCAAAGATCAGCATTTATCTGAAATAAAAAGCTTTTGTAACATTATTATACACTATACCATTCAAAAGCTTGGAGTCAGTGTGTGTATATATATTAAGTGATGATAAAGGCATTGGTTACACTTTACTTGAAGGGGTGTGCATAAGACTGACATGACACCTTCATAATCATGACATGACACCTACATAATCATGACATGACACATGTCATGAATATGAAGGTTTTTTTATGCATGTTTATGACAACTGTCATTGTGTCATTCGCTCAGTTATGTAATTTTTAATGCAAAGATGACATTGTTTGAGATGTCTTTGTTATGGGCTATGGTTAGGGGTAAGGGTAGGGTTAGGTCAAATAATGTCATATTTGCATTAAAAATGACAACTGAGCGAATGACACTTAATGACAGTTGTCATAAACATGCATAAAACCTCCTTCATATTCGTGACATGTGTCATGTCATGATTATGAAGGTGTCATGTCAGTCTTATGCAGACCCCTTCAAGTAAAGTGTTACCAAGGCATTTATAATGTTACAAACGATTTCTATGTCTGATAAATGCTGTTCTTCTGAACTTTCTATTCCTTAAAGAAACCTGAAAAAATTCTACTCCGTTGTTTTCAACATAATAATAATAATAAATGTTTTTTTGAGCAGCTTATCAGAATATTAAAATGATTTCTGAAGGATCATGAGACTAATGATCCTTCAGAAGTAATGATGAGTAATGATGCAAAAAATCAGCTTTGAAATCACAGGAATAAATAATTTTTTTTTAAAGTAGCCTATATTCAAATAGAAAGCAGTTATTTTAAATAGTAACAATATTTCACAATATTACTGCTTTTGCTGTAATGCAGGCTTGGTGAGCAGAAGAGAATTCTTTAAAAAACATTAAAAATCTTACTGTAGAAAAACTTTTGACTGTTAGGGATGGATGGATGGATGGATGGATGGATGGATGGAACTCCCTTCCCCATTCACTTTAATTGTATGGAAAAGAATGGCCAGTACACTTTTTCTTTTGTGTGTTAAAGCTACAAAATAATTTCCGTTACGTGTAAATGATGACAGAAAGCCCTCTGTCCCTCTCCAGGTTGTGTAGTGAAGGATTATGGGAATCTGACTTTTGAGGACATTCCCAATGATGAGCCCATTGGCAGACTGAAGAGTCCGAGAGCAGTCGGCCGTGCCAATGAGCTGCTCGCAGGAGCTGTGCTGAAGATCAAGAGCGATGGCAACACTTGTGTGATGCTGGGAGGAGATCACAGGTCATTGTGTGCTTCCAGTTCTGTTCAGTTTAATGTTTGAACCTATTCTCAGCAATATGTTTGCTGTTTTTTACAGCTTGGCGATTGGTTCGATTTCAGGTCATGCCGCCTCAAGACATGAGCTGAGTGTTTTATGGGTGGATGCACACGCAGACATCAACACGCCTTTAACCACACCAACGGGAAACATTCACGGCCAACCGCTGTCGTACCTCATCCATGAACTGCACTCAAAGGTGAATGATGGTCTTTAATCATTTCAGCACCTTTGTTAAAGTTTGTGTAATATGTTACAAAGTTATTACGTTACTGTCAGTCTCATCACAAAAAAACTCCTAAAGAAATGTTCGACTTTAACTTCCTGACCATGGCTGACATGCAGTTGTCAGTATCTGTACTTTTAGCACACTCATAACTAATAAACATTAACAGCTAACTTATTGAAAAGTTCATAGAAAATTTTATGAAACTCTCAGAAAAACATGTTCATGTCCTTTTTAAGAAAACCATTAGGATTATTTTGCTTTGTGACATTATTGTTATGCACAAATTACACAAAAAACATTTCTCCTGAAACTCCAATTAAGATAATGTGACATTACCAGTAATTGCAGTAATTCATGATTCTCATTAGATTCTCATTATTATTTTTATTCTAGTATATATATATATATATATATATATATATATATATATATACTATATATGTATATACATAGTGTATGT